AAATGAGCTATAATAACCAAATGATCAGGCTCACAGAGATTCCTGGAGGCATGGCTGGGAAGTCTTTGGGCATCTGACAGGTTCTCAGATGGCTGCCATCTTTGAACCTGACGTGTGTTTGGTGGCTTCCCAGCAATGGCAAGGGGAATTTCTGTGAGACTAAGCTGCAGACAAGAATTGGGCATTGGCTCATTCCTGAACATGAGGGCCCAACAGCTTCTGCAGTTTGTTGACGGGCCCTTCTGTGCAGCTGGGATGCAATATGTGGAGGATGGCTGCCACGAATGCATGTAATGTACGGAGTGCAATATGTAGGTGGAGCTTTGTGTAGGTGTGGCTTGTGTGTGGCTGGGGCCTCATGGAGCCCCATGATCTACTATTGCCAGGGGGCCCCATGAGTTGTCAGTCCGCCCCTGATAGAGATGGCTCAGTAGTTCCAGGAAGTGGGAGGCAGGTCCAAGCTATTATCGTGCAGCATATAGCCAAATGTGCAAAGGTAGCAGGGGGGTAGAACATATGCTGCAGCTGCAATATTTGACATCACAGAATAGCAAAAATTATCCCTGAACTGAATTGTTTTTAATTTCTTGAACATATTCAATCTGCAAAGAATCATGAAATGTATGAATCACAATTGCCTATACTCCTAAATTGTGTGATTTTTCACAGATCAGATAGATCTACATGAAAATATTTGGAAAAATCAAAATGAGCAAACTGCAAAGGGCCAAATACAATAAGTTTTGGGGAATCAGAAGATCCTTTAGTCAGAAGAAAACAGCCATATTTGTGTCTAGTGTGGGGTTATATGAGGGTAAAAAAAAACAAAAAATCCAATATGCAACCTTACAATGAGCTGCTGATGTTTGGAGTCCCCTATTCCTGGTGTTATTGATGCACTAGGCAGTACCGCACTCTCTGACACACCAAAGCTCATGCCCAGCAGAGTAGGACAAAAACAATGGTGCTAATAAACAATAGCAATAAACAGCATACAATAAAACAGCTTACAAATGAGAATATCAGTCATGCATTATCGGTACTCAACAACCAGGTTCAAGCGCAAAGTTTAGACTTCCTAGACCCTAGCTTAAGTGAGTGCCTTAAATGTTGCAGATACACAAAGGGAGTAAACTAACACAGTCCCTCCTAATCCCGCTCCCACTGAGCAGCAGTAAATAAGTCTTTGTTGGAACACTTTAATCAAGAAAAAAAAAAAGGGGAACACTCTTCAGAACATATCCCTGGGGGTCCCAGAAAAGGTTAGTCCTGTCTCTTTAAGAAGGGATGTGACAAAAATGGTCTCACCACCCCAAAGATTCCTCCTTTTTCTGGACGTCCGGAACAGCAGTTCTGCATTCTACTGTAGGCGGTTCCCACAGTCCCTGATATGAAAGCAGCAGGAATAGCATGCAGCAGTTGCAGCAGTGTGTTGCCCAATAGGATTACAGCAGGACAGCCTCTATCTGGGTTAATGGTTAGTCACAGGTTGCAGATTGGTCAAGGCAGAACTGGGCAGGTGGGCTCCCACATTCAGCAGCAAAACCTAGGTTTAGCAGCAGTGATTTTGCCTGAGAAGGATGGCAAAGGTAGTCTCTGGAGGACTCAGCAGGAATGATCTCACAGCAGAGGAGCAGTCCTGTAGGCTCTATGGCAGCCTAGACTACTATGCACACACAAATCAGCACACAATGTCTACAATAATACAGTTCTTACCCAACAACAGCAGGTATGCTTTCTTCTCCAGCTCTCTGCAGCACACAATGTCCCCTTGCAGACAGCTCTGCACTCTCTCAGGTGTCACAGGAGTCCACCCTCCTAGCAGGGGTGTAGATAAGGGGGGTCAGGGGGTCCCCCCCCCCCCCCCCCAGAGGAGATTTTCCAATCATCCCTGCAGCCCTCGAAATTTCAATATGGTGGGGGCAGCGAGCAGTGCCAGGACTGGGGGTGTGTGGGAGGGGCAACAGTGGAGGCAGTGGCAAGCAGCGATCTGCTGTCTGGCTTTCAATCTGGCAGCTGGAAGCCGCAGGAGGGAGAGGAGGAGAATCGGATTCCAGCTGCTTCACTGAAAGCCAGACAGGAGATCGCTGCTTGTCACTGCCCCACAGCCCCCCCCCTCCCACACACCCCCAGTCTAGGTTCACACCTATGCAAGTTGCTTTTGATGCGTTTCTGCATTGCATTTTGCGTTGCGTTTTAAATTTTTTTTTTTTCTTGTTGCTAGGCAGATTTTAAATGCAAAATGCAGCAAAAACGTAGCGAAACCCAATACATGCTTTTCTTGGCATTCCCATTGAAGTCTATAGAACCAAAAACGCAACATTTTGCATTCAAAAAAGTCTCTTACCCTTTCCAAAAAATGCACCAGATGAAAATGCAGAGATGTGAACCTGTCCCATAGCAAATCATGTTAAATGGACTGTACTGCGTTTGCAAACGCTGCAGAAAACACTTAGGTGTAACCTAGGGTTATGGGAGATGTAGTCTCCAGGCAGGAATGGCCACACAAGGTGGAACTACAAGTCTCCTCCTCTCCCTCCTGATGCTTTCAGCTGCCTCATTGAAAGCCAGACAGGAGAACGCTGCTTGTCACTGCCCCCAACCACACACCCCCATTCTAGGTTCACACCTATTCAGGTTGCGTTTGATGCGTTTCTGCATTGCGTTTTGCGTTGCATTTTTCTATTTTTTTCTTGTTGCTAGGCAGATTTAAATGCAAAGCACATCAAAAACATGGCAAAAATGCATCAAAAACCCAATACATGCATGCAATATCACCGCACCAATCATACCTGACCGATCATACCCCTCTTTCCTTCCATCCACCCACCCTTCCTTCCACCCACCCCTCCCTTCCTTCCATCCAACCCTTCCATTCTTCCATCTACCCTTCCTTCCTTCCACCCACCCCCCCTTCCTTCCTTCCACCCACCTCCCTTCCTTCCTTACACCCACGCCTTCCTTCCTTCCACCCACCCCTTCCTTCCTTCCACCCACCCCTCCCTTCCTTCCTTACACCCACGCCTTCCTTCCTTCCACCCACCCCTTCTTTCCTTACACCCACCCCTCCCTTCCTTCCTTTTACCCACCCCTCTCTTCCTCCTACCTACCCTTCCTTCAAGGGGGACAGGTTGGTTGGTTTTGCAGAAACGCAGTACAGTCCATTTAACATGATTTCCAATGGGACAGGTTCACATCTTTGCATTTTCATCTTGTGCATTTTTTTTAGAAAGGGTAGGGGACTTTTTTAAACGCAAACGTTGCGTTTTTGGTTCTATAGACTTCAATGAGAATACTGCAGAAAAGCATGTATTGGGTTTTTGATGCATTTTTTCCACGTGTTTGATGCGCTTTGCATTTAAAATCTGCCTAGCAACAAGAAAAAAAAAAGAAAAACGCAATGCAGAAACGCATCAAACGCAGCCTGCATAGGTGTGAACCTAGACTTAGAGCTCGCTGCTTCTAGCAATAATGGGCAGGCCTCACAGGAGAATTGAATTGCAGCAGTTCAGCAGAGTGAACTCTCCTCCCCAGAGCTGGAGTCTGTGCACGTGCCAATGGTTTTATAAGCCTTCTGTGTCAAATGACTAAATAAGGCTCTATGCACATGGGATGTTTTAATAACGCTGGTAACATTAGCTGTGTAAAGTCACGTTAAAAACTTGAGTTTTTCAGTGTTTTTTAGCGTTTTTGTATTAGTGTTTAGCTGCGTTTTGCCAGGTTTTTGCATTTTTTAGCAGTTTTTAGTTTTATTTGGTAAAAAAAAAGTTTAAAAATGCTAGTTTGCCGCGATTTACCACGTTTTGCTGCATTTTTCAGAGTTAGAGCATTTTTTACAACTAAAAAACTCCTCTATAAACCCACTAGTTCTGGGTTTATTTTCCAGCCAAAAAAAACCGCCCCTGCCAATAAACATTGATTAAAGTCTATGTGTACATGGACACATAGGATGACATGCTGGGGAGTTTACTGTCTGTGAAAAAAAAAATGTCAAAAGCCAAAAACAGTAGCTGTAAAAACATCCAGTGTGCATGAGGACTAAATGGTCCAACGGTATTTGAAATATCACTTGCAGTTATAACGATTTTGTTATTGCACTTTATAGAATTAAACTGGAGTCAAAAGAAAGCCATAACATTTAAGGTATACAAAATCTAGTTACATAATAAAGTAATAAAATTTTGTGAGATCTACAGACATGCTGAGTTATCCCAAAATGGCATATGTAATTTAAAAAAATCATATGATCTGTTGCTGCAACAGAAGGAATCAACAGATAAGAAATGTGTCTGCATATACTACACTTTAATTAGGATGAGTTGATAGATAAGACTTTTAAAACTACAGGAAGAAAAATTACTGGCAACATTCTTCATTCAGAATAGACATCCTTGGAGAAATGTGCTGTTTTCTTTTCTGTTTATTGGAAGAAAATGGAATGGAACTCGGCTATTTGAAGATAACCAGTATATACAGTGGGGAACATCTGAAACTCTTTTTCTGTCTGGCTGTTGAACAGATATATCTGACAGATTGTATGGTAACATTTTAATACTATCTGTACTGGTTTTTACTATTAAGAGAAGGCATAAGGTTTTCTAAGAACATTTTTAAAGTTTTATTTTATTTCCCCCAAACATACTACAGCAATGGGGAATAGTCTACCTGCTAGTACTGCTACAGATGTAGAAAGGAAATACAAGAGTACCGTGCTATATTTGACTTTGTCCTTGTTGGCGTCTGTAGGAGAGAACGCTTTTTCAACACTGGTATACAGGTGTCCATGCAACAGCTGGAATTTGACACACAGTTTGGTCTTCCTGTTGGTCCCAGCTTTGGTATTTTTCTTGCTTGGCTATCTGCTGAATGGAGATATTTGGAAAAAAAAACAAGATTGCAGTCTTTGTGGTTGCAATATCATTCTTATCAAAGTAACCGCTCTGTCAAGTTTGGCTCCCCTAATATGGATCAATTTGGCTCTTATTAAAGTTGGTTATTATGAGTGTATTATTACAGGAAGCCCTTGGAAGTACATGAAGGAAAAATTTTGTGGAGGAATAGATACATGTATAGAAACATTACAAGAACTACCTTGTGGAATGCAATTGAAGGAGAACATCACAAAGGCTGAAATAGAGGAAATACAAAGTCACATTAAATCCGAATCTCAGGTGAGTATAACAAACACAATCATTAACTGTCTATAGTTGTTTTTTATTTCTATTTTAGTACTATCCTATGTAAATAAATATGCCTCAATAGAAAAAAAATCCTTATTTTAAACTATTTTAAACTAAAAGAATCTTCTACTTCAAAAAAACAGGTTCACAATCCAGTTCTGTCACAGTAAATTCTGAATTCCTAAGTAAATTAAAATAGTATCCATGGTTTGATAACAAAGTTGTAATTCTAACAGATAGGACTAAAAGTTATTTACTATATAGAAAGTTTAATGGATATTTTGCCACTATTCCTATAGTGTAGTCAATTTTTGGGTGTGGGGTGTCAACATGAGGCAGCTATCTTGTTTTTGGAATATGTGACATAGGCCAGTGAAAATGCCACTATTAATTATTAAAGCAGTATTAAACCCAAAAGCAAACATTTATTATAATGCAGCTTACCAATTCTTAGATGTGATGACTGTATTAGTTTCCTTTTTTAGGCTTTTGTGCTTCTGGTGATTCTGGTGATTTTCATCTGGTGATTCAGCTAGCAAGTTTGCTATTTTTCAGAAGCTCAAGCTCTTTACCAGAATGTATCAGTTTACATGAATGAGACAAACCATTTACCAATGTCAGGGGTGATTAAAATGAGCAGCTTTTATTTTTGATGTAAAACCTTTATCCCAAAAGGAAAACAACTGTTTGCTGTTACTGATTATAAGGTTCCTATGGCGATCTGATCAGGTCTGCCTCTAAGTTTTTCAGGTGGACCTGATCAGATGGTCCATGTACCCCTATGAACCGGGGGGGTGTAAACAGACTTGTCTTCTTCTCACCAACAGCACCCCAATTCTCCTCCACCTCTTTGTATTCCTTCTCTACCTTCTGCTACCTCTCTCTCACAGGAACTTAGGCAGTAAGCAAAGAATTCTGCTGGCCCTGAGACAGAAGCTGCTGCTATGCCTCCAGTGCCCAGTCCATGACGTCATGTAGTGTATTCTCCAGGAGGAAGATGAGAGGGATGGTAATACTAATCTCCACTTTATCGTGGCTTACTATTTTTATCACCTCTTTCTGCCACTGCGTTGTAGCACAGACAATACAATTGCAGAAGAAAGCAAATTCCATGAGCTAGAACCATAGCAGCAGCAACGCCAGCAGTTTCGTTAAGATGGCATTAAGATGCTGGGCATTGGAGTGCTTTGGGAATGTTTGTTTCCTCCAGAAGCTCCAACAGCTGCAAAAGAGACACCTACCTTTTGAAAGGATGCTGCTGGATAGGGTGTGCTGGTTGTAAGAGAAACTACAGCCAGAGAGGTTCAAGCCTTTTCATTTGACCTACCTTAATGTAGCTCCATGACCATCTTCCTCACTTGACTTGGCATATTGTAAACCTCTGCAACCCTTGTCAGACTTCCTTCTTTGTCACTAGGGGCCTGCATTTACTTCCAGTCAATAGTTATTTCTTTTACAACACCAGGCAGCGTTGGCTGGGTCCTTCTGCTGACTTGGCTTGCACTTCCAGGTGCAGTCGATACTCTACAAAGGGAGCTAAGGGAATTCCAGATGATGTCCCAAGGTTGAATTAGCTTAACGCACATGGCCAAAGGTCATTCAACTCCTTGATGTCCAGTGGTGTCCTCCTGGATACAATCTTATGATTGCCCAAGCAGGCTGGCTGAAAGGTGGACTGAGCTCTCCCTGCTGGATAAGTCACACTTTCTTCCCAATCAGGTACCCTGCAACCTGGTGGTCCTTTTGAATTTCCACAATTTCACTCTGGCAGATTGCCCAGGACAGCTCTCCTCACTCCTGGTCTTGACAGATTCCTTGCCTCCTGGCTTTTGTTCCAAGGGTTTACTCTCTGCTCTTTCCACACAGCCTTTCCCCTCACTCACTGTGTCCACTTTCATTCTCCAAGTCTGGTGGGCAGGGCTTACCTTCCTAGGCCTAGCATGTTACACAGTTGTAATCAGGGCTTTTTTTTTTCAGCGGGAACGCAGGGGGAACACCTCCAGCACTGAATGTATGCAATGGCAAGGGATGCTGGGGTATGCTGAAGGGTCTATTGATGCTGGTTGCTGGGGATCTATTGTTGCTGGGGAGGGGGGTCTATTTTTGCGGGAGGGTCTATTGTGCTGGGGCGGTCTACTGATGCTGGTAGGGTATCTATTGTTGTTGGGGGATAAATTGTTGATAGGATGGAGAATGAGTCTGTTGGGAGGTGTCTAATATTGCTGACAAAATATTGTCAGCAAATTTGTTGTCAGGTTATATATTGTCAGGTTATATTGTTGCAAAATGGATCTATTGTTACTGGGGGGTCTATTGTTGCTGGCTGCAGGGGATCTATTTTATGGTTTTTCTTGTTATCATTAACAAATTCCATACAAATTATTTTGCATGACAAAATGATACTGTTCTGTATTCTCTAAAAGGGTAGTACTGGGAGGATGTGGATTAAAGGAACAGTGCTTGGAGGTGGGTGGGGAGCAGAGACAAGGGGTGACTTGGAAAGGGAGAGTTCCTGCACCTAGTGTCTGTGAAAAAAAGCCCTGGTTGTAATTGTTTAAATATTCAGCCTGTTATCACTGTAGTGCATATGGACAAGGACAGGCTGAGGTGCATCAGCAGCATTACCCTGTAACAAAATCACATGCAGTATTTTCTACCTAAATGAAATTAATTACCAATTTACATCTACTTTAGCCATTTGCCGCCCAGCCTATAGCCGTTTGGCGGCTGCAAAAATGCATTACCTTTCCGGGGTGTACGCCATTTGGCGTCCTCCCGCACATGCGCAGTTCACAGGGTTGCAGAGCCGGTACCATGTGACCTGCTGTGACCAATCACAGCAGGTCACATGACAGTTGTATACAATGGATGGCTTCATTCATGCCATCCATTGCATACTAGTGTCTAGCTGTGAATGGTCACAACTAATCACATGCACATGTCATGTAATTAGCTGTGGCCAAATCACAGCTAAGCCAAAAAAAAAAAAAACCTGAATGAATCGATGTCATTCAGGTAAATGCTTGCTTAGAGCAAATTAATTCTTTGCTATAAGCAAATTGTGTAAAAAAAAAAAAAATACTGATCACTTCCCCAAAGTAGTACAATGTTACTATGGTAACATTGTACTACTTTGGTCATAATAAAATATGAAAAAAAATCTTAAAAAAAAAATAAAAAAAAATGTAATAAAAAATAATAAAAAAAATTAAAAAAATATATATATTTTTTTTTTCATACTGTCACCAGTCAGTGTCCCTGTTCACCGTCATGCCATTTATATGATGATGCTGTACTGCACTGGTGACAGTATGTAAAAAAAAAAAAATAGTGAAAATAATTTTTTTAATTTTTTAATTTTCCAAAAAATTATGACAAAAAAATACAACTTCAAAAAACTCGCCATGCCTCTTATGAAGTACGTCGGACTGTCTACTTTACAAAAAGGGGTCATTTGGGGGATATCTGTACTATTCTGACATTCTTGGACCTCAAGAAATTAGATTGGCTGTCAGTACAGGATTGATCAATTTTCAGATCTATACCATAGTTTGTGAACTCTATAACTTTCCTACAAACTAAATAATACATCCTAATTTGGGTTATTTTCACCAAAGACATGTAGCAGAATACATCTCGGCCTAAATTTATGAAGAACAATTATTTATTTGTAAACTTTTATAACAGAAACAAAGAAAAACGTGGTTTTTTTCAACATTTTTGGTAATTTTTGTTAATTTTAGCAAAAAATAAAAACCCCGGCGGTGATTAAATACCACCAAAAGAAAGCTCTAGTTGTGTGAAGAAAATGATAAAATTTTAGTTTGGGTACAATGTTGTATGACCGCGCAATTGTCATTCAAAGTGTGAGAGCGCTGAAACCTGAAAAATGGCCTGGGCAGGAAGGTATAAAATTGCCCGGTATTGAATTGGTTAATAGACCTACCAGTCCCTACAAGCCTACACTAATCTCTCTCCATGGACTATGTCAGCAGCACTTCCTCAAATTTTCCTAGCACAGCTATAGCACATTGTCAATATGGCTGCTGGGAACCAACCCTTTTTATAAAGAAGTAGCTAGCTTATCCGAAAACCCCTATTGGTCCTTCTAAGCCACCTAACCTAAGTTCAAAAACCAGGCAGTGCAATATGGATACTATAGCAATTTCTCACATTATTTTGCTGAGTTTGAAAAACTCAAACCCATTGATAATGGCAGCCCAAACGTTATCCCTAGTAATAGGGTCCTATTAAAGCTGATCTCCAGCTTTACTTTAATTTTAAATAGGCAGCTTCGTATTCTATCAATGAATACAAAGCTTCCCCTGATTGGCTAGCGTTAGAGAATGTAACCTCATCAGCCTGCCTCTCTGACTCAGCCAGAGGAAATTTTGTATTCATTGATAGAATACAAAGTTTCTTATGAGTGGCTGAGCACATAATGCTATTTTTTTCTCGGTGTGAGACAGGATGGTATTGTCTCACACCCAGAACCCAGTGCTGCCTACTGTATGTAGCTGAGACTACATACAGTTTATACTGTGTTACATGTTAGTGTAGCAAATAGCTTGGCCCAAACAATTTTTAAATTGAAATTAAAGCTGGAGCTTTAAAGCATTGACCCAGTTATGCAATATTTGAAATCAGAACTGATCTGCATACTTGTTCCATGTCAGTCACTCAGAAAGTATATTAGCCAGAAGAGCAGTGAGGCCAGAATTTCTTAGGTGATAGAATTTCTTAGGTGATCAGCAGTTTTTCTTATGAGAGAACAATCAAAAAATCAGGTGCACATTTTTTTTTAAGACTTTATCTAGCCTTATTCTTGGTGCTAGTGTTTTTTTATCACATCTACAGTGCATCCAGAAAGTATTCACGGCGCTTAACTTTTGCCACATTTTGGTATGTTACAGCCTTATTCCAAAATGGATTAAATTAATTTTTTTCCTCAACATTCTACAAACAATACCCCATAATGAATACGTAAAATCTTTGCAATTTATTAAAAATAAAAAATTTAAAAAAAAAAACACATGTATACTGCTTGGTTTGTGCTTCTATTTACACTTCTCACTGGAAAAAGACAATTGCAGAAACTCCCCTGAAGCAATTGCAATAACATATTAACGATTTTCTTACCTCAGTAAACTTTGATGTATTAAAGTTGCTTGATTTTATCTTTTTCTTTAGGTTCTGAGTTCAGTTGTACTGGCGTGTTTAATTGTTGTGGGACTGTTTTTTATCTGCTTAAGTCGCATAACCCAAGAAAACTTGAATGACCAGCCAAACTCACACAGAAGAGGAGACACATCCAACCAGCTACAACAAATTGAAGCACCAGAGCAAACGTTGAATGACCAATCAGAGACTGAAGCTTAAGAAAAAAGACCAGGCCAAAAGATGTAAAAAAGTGTGTTCCTTGTGGTTTTTAGATAATGTCCATAGAGTTGAAAAGTTTTGCAAAATCTTCAAAGCTCTGTTACTTTTAATGACAATAGATTCTTAGAAATAACTAAGTAGAACTATGACCACCCAGTAAAAAATATTTGCTGTAGAAATAATTTATATGTGCACTTACAGTTTTCTCTCCCTGCAAAGTCCCACAAGTACCTGTTGATGCCAACAGTAAAGTCCACATGATGCAGCTTCCTGTGATGGAGTGGAAGTGATGCTGCACTGCTTTTTTAGATTTAAGAGAAGTGTTGCCACCCTCATGTAGGCTGTGTCTGCTTTCAATACAGTGGGATGAGAAGATGTTGCAGGGGACATGGCTAGCAGCATTGTCATTGCTGACTCACAAGCCTGTAGCCTGTCAATCAGCAGCTGGCCACACCTAGTCCTGGCCACTGCTTTCTGGATTGTCAGCACTTCCTCTGTTAATGAGACCCCCCACTGTGAACTGCAATTTCTGGGGAAAAGGGGGGCAGTTAAACCCATATATAAGAGGATTTGGCTCAGTTGGGGAAAGCAAATGACATTTTTTATTTACTTTATGAGGCTTGCACATTACATAGTAACTGCATTTGGGACCTGTTTAGACTGTCAACTGGGCGACTTTAGTTGTACTTCAGAAAGTAAAAAGGAGGCAAACTCAGTTTACAACCACCATGTCTTAGAACATCAGTTGTGTAACATAATTATTGATAATTAAAAATATCTGCAATGGTTGCTCTGGGTTAAGTATAATCACATTTGTCTAAGTGCATGACATATCTTTTAAGTACTTAGGGCAGCCCGTTGGTCAGTTGTCCTACTATGACTATCCCAAATGGTTTTTTTTTGCTAAGATGCATACATAGACTGCCACACTATCGTAATACTTTACAAGATGCATCCACACTATCGCAATACTTTACAACATGCACTTACCTGATTCCTAATTTCCTGGAAGTGGCCTTTTATTTGGAGAAAGATAAGTGCTTTTGTGAAATATGTGACACTTGGACAGATGTAAATAAAATTAGTTTTTATTCAGTGCTAGCTCATATAAAGATACCCTATTGCCAAATAATTAATTTCGAAAACAATCTTCCAATATTATTACAATATTTGCATTTAACATATTTTATGCTTGTTATTTACCTGTAAAAACTTTCTTTGGGTAGACATCCATATGGCCTAAGAATGCTAATGGACACCACCATCTTGGATGTGATGTCAGCAGCCCCTGCAGACTCAGTGCTGTCACTCAGATGACACTCTTTAGTACTACTCTTTACTCCTCCCCTGGCAGCTACATAAAAGTTTATGAAGGGAGGTGAGGGGTAGAGGAGCAAGGAGGAGGGAGGGAGGACAGTAGCTCTGCTGGAGAATCCACTCTTTCTGTAGTGGCTGATTTCCCAAGCAAGTTCAAGACATATTGCAAGTAAATAAAAAATGTTTAAGAAAAGAGAAGATGCTAAAATCAAGCATCTCAAATGCCTGATTTTTCTTTGTTTTTGTCTGAATTTTTTAAGTTGGTGACAGCAATTCTAGACACTTGAATATGAAATCCCAAAAACATGATTGTAAGATCCCAACCCCAGGCTGCATAGCATTATCTCTAATACAATATATATATATATATATATATATATATATATTCCTTTTCCTCTTGATTCTTGTGAAAAGGATAAGGCAGTTATAAAATATTATTTTTATTTTCTACCAATCAAATGATTATATAGCGCTACCTCTGAAGGAGCCATTGGTAATTTGCCTCGACTCCAAGATCAAAAAACAGAAGTTGTGTTCCGTAAAGACCTTGCCTATACATGCTTACAGTCGTGTAAACATGTGTATGCATTTACACAGGTGAATTTCTTCTTTACTCTGTTTTAGCTGCCAGTGTTGCAATTTATGCAATACATGTAAACTACTGGGCTCAAATTTAAAATTTTCTATGTATTTTTTTTTTTACAGCTCTGAACCCATTGCTGCATTACTGATCTTTACGCACCTGTGTGCACTGTCCCATAGACAACAGTGTACCTGTGTTCAGTCAGTAAAACACGCTACACAGCTACAAATTTGAACTATAATGTTCATCTAAGAATATTGCCTTTATTCCTGATGCCATGACTCAATGTGAAAGAATTATACTTATCTCATGGCCTATGCTCCTTGACAATGCACAATTAATGATAAGATTAAGCAATATGAAATGATTTGGGACCCTTAGGCCAAATAAATGCAAATCCACCTGCCTCTTTATCTACAATTTCAGCATCAAAATCCCCAGGTCTATTCATTTTCTTCTTTTCTCTTTTTTTTTTCTTGAGTATTACATCTGTGCTTCTTATGTGCGATAATGTTTGATGGGTTCCATTATACAAAGGGATTGTCACTGGTTCTAATGTCACCTAGATGTATCAGGAGCTTCCATTTAAAATATGTTTTGGGTTTTTTTTTGCTGAACCTCTCTGTTTGATGTTTCAAGCCTCCTAATTTTGCTGCGTCCTTTTTGTTTATTGTAAGACACATTTTTTGCCTTAACAATGATCCCAATCCTGAAAAATGCTGTTACTCAACCTTTGCTTCAATACAAATATTGAATGTGAAAGAATTATGCATTGCATTGTATTTATCACAGAATTGTGCAAATATATAGTAAATCTGGATATAACAGAGTAGAAATGTTTATTCCTTCGAAAATATTCATGTTATCACAGGTAAACAACACAAAATATTTGCAACATGCAGGATTTTTATTTTATCCACAAGGTAGTTCAAGAATGAAACATGCAACCGAACTCTCAGTTTCCCAATCATTAGACAGCAGAAGCGTAACATAGGTAGATGTAATCCACCTTTAGTGGTCTAACTTGGCAGCTTCCCATTTGTCTACACTGTCCACAAATCACCTTCCATTCAGCTGCTGGGAGCTAAGGAACCATCCTGTAAGTTACAAGTCACAGGTCTTGGTAAGGTACTCTGTCCCAAACGCTATTTGACAATGCTGAGTAGCTGGGTATTTGTGTAGCCAGGTGTCGGCTATATTATTATGTCATTCTGGGACATTTACAGATAAGACTATGATTAGTCATTTTCCCCCTAGTGCCAGTACTGGGACAGCTATATCATTTCCTGTTAGTGTGGATTCAGTTTTTCTGACAGGAGAGGATCTGTTGTCCTTTAGCCAATAAATCCTGTATTTCTGAGTACTAACTGAACTACAACAAACAGAGAGCTGGCAAACAAGAAGGTTACTGGGAGAGCAGATATATTCTAAAGCAAGGAAGTGGTTTTCTCTCCTGGCGTGGAATTCAGAGCTGAACACAGGACGACTGCCGTTCTCTTCCAGAGAAGATTACTGGCCTACTGCTGCAGTACTCTGCACATCAGTTCAGCACAGCGGTAACATCAATCACCACACCAGGATCTCCCCAGTGTCTGTGCATCAGAACTGTCATTGTCCGGTTTTCACACAGACAGCTGTGGTAACTCCACACATCCCTGTAACCAGCCAAGAGTCTGTGCAAGAACTCTATTCCAAGGAGGCCCCCACCATTGCTAGCATACGACAACAGATACTACCATATCAGTAACTTTAAACACCACAGGACTAAAGTGGCAATCTCTATTTAAAGGGACATCTTCTCTTTTAAGGCAGTTGCTATTCAAATTGGGGTACTTATATCTATTCATAGCAGATAATATTTTACATAATTCTCTGCCTTAGAGGGTTGAGACAAACAATATACTTTTAACGGTCAACACTTTACCCTAAGGCTCCATGTACACGAGCCTACTCTGACTTCCAGCCGCAGGAAAACGCAAATTGCTGCAAAAAACCGTAGCAAGACACGGTACCACGGTTGTGCCGCGTTTTGCGGTTTCCCGCGGTCAGCAATCAAAAATTCCTATCCTGAATGCGATTCTGACGTGTTCACTAGAGGGAGGTTTAACCTCACCTAAACGTGGCAGCTCCTAAACTCTGTTAAAAGTCTATGAGTACATGGACACAGGCTTTTATGGAGTTGAGTTTAGGAGCTTTGGAAAAAAAATGCCAAAAGCTCCTAAACTCAAGTTTAAGAGCTACTCGTGTACATGAAGCCTAAAAGGGGAAAAAAACTGCTTCTGTAACTGCCTAAAAAGTGTTAGCTGGAGTTAGGCTTTAATTTGTTAGTCATTTATGTAAAGTTCATCTTACACTATCCTCTCCAAGGGTTGATAATGCTGTTCTCCAAGGGTGGCTATGTTACTCCTTCATAGAGTGGAGGAGTGAATGTAGCTCTAAGACAGGAAGTGTGTTAATGGCTGAATCACCAGGTAAAAATAAAAGCCTAAAAATTTAAAACAAATGCAGCCCTAACATTTAGGGATTGGTAAATTGCAATTTACTACATTCTTGTTTTGGGGTTTAGATGTGTTAAGTCCATCAAAGTTTTTCAGCAGCAAGATTTTTGTAATGTCACAGGGTATCCACTGAGTATGAGACCTCTAATCTACTAATGCAGAAAGCAATGCAATGACTTTCACTAGAATTCTTCATTAAATGTATCTGTTCCTAAGCATTTAAAGAGGTTCTAAACCTATTTTGTTTTCCTAAAATACAAAACATGTTATACTTACCTGCTCTGTGCAATAGTTTTGTACAGAGCGGCCCTAAACCTCTTCTTCTGGGGTTTACCACCTTCACTGTCTGTTCCTCCTCTTCTCTGAGTGCCCCCATAGCAAACCATATGCAAGATCCTTAGTCACACACAGAGCGGCTCAGAAAACTGCTTCCTACTCCCTTCTCACTGGTTTTGATTGACAGCAGCAGGAACCAATGGCTCCTGCTGCTATCAGCAAAGCCTGGGAGATCAGGAATAAGGGAGAAGAGCTGCTACAGACAGGACAGTGCTGGATCGAGAATGGACTTAGGTGTTTGGGGGGCTGGGGGGAGCTGCTAATCA